GGCCTAAGATGAACGTGCGGTTTTTATACAGGTCGGAGTGCAATCGGACCAATCTGCTAATGTCCTTGAGAGATTAAGATCTTGACTGGTCCTGCGAATCGTCCGAATGGTTGGGTAGAGCACTTATCTCATCGGCAGATTGCGCGATAACACCACGCGCACGGCCGATCGATAGTGCGGTGTGGGAATGAATCAGGGCGGCGTGTGAGCAAGCCGGTTAGAACGGCTACGCCTAACATAGTGGTCAAACGACACCACAGTCTCAGTATAAACAGAGGTGGGCAGGTTGAACGCATCTCTAATCCTGATATCGATACGATAAAAGCTTTACTCGGCTGTAAATCATATTACTGAGCAGTGTCATGTGGTCATTTTGTGTAGGCGACCTTACAAGTGAAAGAGGCATTGCGCAGGCTGACTTGTTCTGTCAGTCAACGATCTTCAAAGCCATGACCTTTACCATAGCGTGGTAGCTCATGATAGTCAAAAAAGCACGCACTGGCATTAATACTCTCCCTCTGTGACCCAATCATAGGACTGGGTCGGATGGACATAAGAAGCTATTAGGCCAAGCATGAAGCAAGACCACCTCATGGGAAACATATGTGTGCAGATAGACTTCGTTCAGATCTGACAAGTCAGCATAGCTCGATTGGGAAAGCGATATTACAGCCAACACAACCAACATAATAGGGGGCGTCGACCAATATCGGCAGAGCCATCGTTATAAAAACAACGATTTAATCCTTATAATTATCCTCAGCGTAACCATCGCTACTGTAAGCTCCGGCGCTACCACTATCACCATAATCATCGCCGTCACTATGCCGTCACCTCAGGACCATCATCAAATGACATCATAGGTATAAGTTGAAATAACTAAATTCTAGTTTTCCATTTCTTTTTAAAACCACAGCCTGGTTCCTCGGAGGAAAACCAGACGCAGGAACAAAATGTTCTGGTCGGCGAACTGGGCCAGTTCTTGGAAGAGTGCAACGTGGCTACCGGTGATAGTTGGGACAACATGCCCCACTATGTGGGCGGTGATCTGCTGCCGCAGCTAAACCTGCCCGCTTGTCTTCCCTCAATGATTCATCAGCCGGTGGCCCGCTTCACTGTAAAAGATCCCAATCTTCTGGCCCCACCAGAATTCATGACCCCGCGTATGTAACGTTGCATATGCCACAGAGAAATGTATTGAGGTTTAAATTAAACATTCCTGATGTAGCACTTGGTCAATTATGCAAACCAGTACTTTATAGACCAGTGGTATTAAACCGAGGACAAAATATATACGTCAGATAGTTAAAAATCTTTTTTGTTTTCCAGACTCATCGAGTTTTCCTCGAAGGTCTTCAGATGGAGCGGCAGACATTCCCACGCTCCATCGGCCCTATCCCATTGTTGGTGG